AGTATCCACTAGCAGAACCATCTCTTGCAGAACCTTTTTTAAGGTTCAGTAGAGCAAAACAAAGTTCCGTGAGAAAATACGAAACCTTGAGGGTTCTATAAAAAACCATTAGGCCTCAGTACGGAACCATTAGGGTTTCCCACGAAACGTTAATGGTTTTGTACAGAACCCTCAAGGTTTCGTATTTTTTCACAGAACCTTTTTTTGCTCTACAGAACCTAAAAAAAGGTTCTGCAAGAGATGGTTCTGCTAGTGGATACTCCACAGAACCTTCAAAAGGTTCTGTCGAATTTTTTATGCTTTTTTTGAGACTTTGGACACATTTGGAGTCTTTTAGAAATCTACAGAACCTTTTCGGAGGGTTCTGCAAAACTCCTTTTTTTTTTAGAGAGTATTGGCCCTATCTTCATTCACATTTCATTTTTTTCTAATAATCTTTTGATGAAAAATTTTGTTCAACATCTATTTGTTTTTGTCGAGTTTTAAAGAAATAATGCTTAACTAGGAATGTTTGTTTTTTTATCTATGTTACTTGTTTTTGACCTATAATCAGTTTCAGGTTATAGTACAATTAGCTGCAGAGAATAACTACAATTTTATTTTGACAATAGAAAGTCCTAGTAGATTTTTCTATTTGCTAGAAAAGCGCTCAGATAGTGAAATCCAGTTAGATTCTTTGCAAAAGTCAACATAAATTCATTGTTGATTTTTTATTAAAAAAAAAATAAACATTTGAATTTCTATTCTTATCAAATACCATATTTTCAAGAAATCGAAATATTGCTGATAAATCGTAGAAACATTTCTAGATTATCTTTCTTCATTCTCTATGATGTATTTTTTAGTTTACAGTCTCAGTAAAAGTTCTCCTTTCTGTTTGGCTTTTTGCAACATCGTTTCCAAAAGAAGCCGTAATGATACATCCGACTCTCAAAATTTTTTTCATTTCTCTTGCCCATTGAAGATATTTATTTGTCTCTAATTCACTTAACAAATACACGAATGATACACATACTGCGCAGTTTCGTTCGAATACTCTTAATGCAAGAATGAAATACTGCGGAATCTTGCTGAAAAAACATCTTTCATATGAAATAAATACACCGGTACCTGGTCAGTAGTCGACACTCCTGTAATGTTCTGCCTCAGACTCGTCGCTTCTGTGTCTCCTATTTCCATTTACTTGTAAACAGGTGACTTAATCTTAATACGAGATTTATAACCCTCAAGATTCTGACCGAAAACAACGATAACTGAGAGTTAAAACAATTTTTTCACTTTCTTTTTACAACGATTTTACGGAGATGGCAAGCCTTGATATATAAAACAATTTTTGCGCTGACTTTTTACAGGCAATCACTTGTGGTTAAGTTCATTCCACAAAACATAGGTTTTGGACTCTTATCAGTTTGCACCAGTGACCTGTTTCCCCATTTGGTTATTTTTGGACTAGTTGAGCGTGCTGCTTCCAGAGTAGTTGGAAAGACAAATAGGCATACATACAATTTGATGCTGATGACTATCCCTTTCAGAAAAAGGGAACGGAAGGAGAGAACCAGATTTATCGAAGAAAAGCTGAGAAGAAATATTCATGGGAATAAGCGCCATAAGAAAAAATCTGATTAGTCAAAGAGAAGTTGACAATAACTCTAATCAGGCGAAAAATATTCGACGATGGATCTGATTGGGTGTCGCTAGTGCACTCTAGGTATAAAATCAATCTGTGAGAATATGATGCGATTTCGCCTCTCAGAACTCAGTTACGGTTGGTCGATTTCTACTAAGCAGAGCAGAAATGAAAGAACCAGCATTTCACATACCGAGGAGTCATAATTTCATGATTGAGAATATAAATTCGAGAAGCACCGACAGTAGCTTCAAATTTTCTCTACCTGAATACTTTTGGTCGACCTTTCTTTCCAAAAACTGATTTATACTGACTCATAACACGTCGAAGGAGATCCTTGGCTCATGGACCTCAAAGATTTGAATTCTCTACTTCGAAACATTCCTAGAGAACCATTTTTCTGAAGATTCTCTTTCTATTGATTGCTTGCCTCGATTAGATGTTTTTTTCAGGGCATTTCAGAAAACTCAATATAGTGCCACCCTAGAATACTGCTAGTCAAATGAAGCTTCACAGATTCATAGATGAACACCGAACATATTTAGTTGCCTGAACTGACGGCCGGAAACAATTTCATATATTTTTGATATTACTGCGGTTATCAAATCTGTAATCATGCTAACACATTTGAATGCGTTACTCTCCCAATGACTGTCAGATCACAAACTCATCATTTCATATCAACTCCTTTAGTCGAGGGAAAAAAGCTCGTTTCTGTTTGGTCCATTTTTTGACGAATGCAAGCTCAAACCGACAAAATCGACTTCAGATTTGCATTGCTCGATAGCGATAACTTACTGCAAAGTTTTATCAAAAAGTCGAAAAGTCTTAAAATAAAAACCTTCGTTTCTGATTGGTTCATTCTCTGACCAACGAAAACTCAACTCGAACAACCGACTTCATATACGGATTTCTGGATGTCGATAACCTTGTTACAAACTTTCACCAAAAGATCGAAAAGCGTTAAAATAAAAAAGACCGTTTCTGATTGGTCGGCTTCCTAACCAATAGAAAGAGCGAATGCAAAACTCGATCTTAGATTCGGAATCCTGGTCCTCGATAACATACAGTAAAGTTCCATCAAAATGTACAAAAACCTTAAAATAAAAAAGCCCATTTCTGATCGGTCGGATTTCTAGCCAATGAGAAAGCCAGATACAAAACTTAATCTCAGATTCGCAATCCTGGCCGTCAATAACCTATAGTAAAGTTCCATCAAAAGGTACAAATAGCTTAAAACCAAAAAGATTGTTTCTGATTGGTCGGCTTCCCAGCCAATGGAAAGTCAGATATAAAATTTGACCTCAAGTTCGGATTTCCCGACCTCAATTATCTTTACTGAAACTTTAGAAGCTACTCTTAAATAAACTTCATTTTTTATGTTTTTTTGACCTTTGACCCTGTCTACAAACAAACAAACGCATTTTAGTTTTTTTCGTATGACCCTCCCTTCAGTCAAGGGAATAATTTAACTAAAATAATCATTGAATGAGTTTGCAAAAAATGAATCAGCTGAATGTAATGAGGGTGGATTCCAGAGATGTCCACAGGGCAGGGTAGAGTAGGAGAAAATCTTTGTGTCGTGAGAATTCCAAACGCTAGCTTTGAAAAATCATAGGCATTATGATTTGCTTCGAAGATGTTAGAGCTACGTAGGGGTATGGGTGTGGGTGTGGGTGCGAGTGTGGGTGTGGATATGGATCTGGGTTTAGAAGGAGAGAAATCTTACACCCTTATTCACACCCACATCTACCCGCATCCACACTCATTCCCACACTCACCCTCCTAGAAACTGAAGCAGCACATTGGCCTATTCGACATCAGTTATCAATTCATATTATAATAGATACTCATTCATAAGCTGAATGATTATTATGAGCACCAGGTACATCCTATTTTTTTCAATTTAATTATGAGTATTTTTTGTTTCTAGAAACATATGTTGAAGTTATTTTTCAAAGTCCATTTGATATTTATGAAATACAACGAACTAAAATAGCTAATTGTTTATCAACACTTTATTCTTCCCCCTCCTCCCTCCCCAATGGCCAATGGATTAGCCATTTGAATATTAATTCCCAAAACAAAACGACACATAAAATTCTAAAAGTTGGAAAAAACAATTTTGTAGCAAACTGCATGGGCTATCAGTTGCTGAAAAGTGTGTTGCAATTCTTCACATTGTCTACAAAATATAGAGTTGACAAAATCCGTAATTTTTAAAAATTAGGAAACAGCTGAACTTTTTAGAACAAAAGATTCTCTACCTACAGGTAGCAAAGGTTTCCAGGAGTTCTTGTAAGATATGGATTGGTTAAACGGTGTGCTACGTAGTCAGTCAGATATGCTTCGAAAATTTTCTGATAGCTTGGTGAACCACAGACAATAACACAGGTAATAGACCGTGTAGTTAGTATTGGACAGACAGAGAGCAATGAAGACTAACGTGTGTAGCTGTTGTGTGAACCTTGTCATAGGAGAAGTTGAAATACTATTCATCATAGGTTCAATGCGCTCAGTAGGTAAATGGTGGCTAAATGGAAGACAAATGTCAACTTTAAAAAATGTGTCAAAAAGTATGTGATATTTCGAAATTGGTTTTCATTAATTTAACCGTCTCTTTTTCATATCATTTCTATGACACGTAATAGCTGCTGGTTCCCTAAAACAATTACTGTCATAAGAGAAAAAAGATAAGATCTGTTCGAATCATTCAATCACTCTTCTTGATGCAACGGTCTTAGAAATAAATAGAGTATCCTGTATAAGAACGTGAGTATTCAACAGATCTGTTCATACCTTCGGCATTATAGAGGGGTCAATACTCGATTTCTATATTTAGTGTATCAGTGGTTCTACTAGAACCGTTATGGGGGATAAAGGGTGAAACCCAACATTTAATGAAGAATAATTTTTCAAATTCTAGAGAAAATAGCCACCAGTGATATAACAATTGATTTAATATTTCTTGAAAAATCTTCATTATATCATCATTCTATTGTACTTGGTGTATTAACATTATCAAAACACACTGATTGGTTTCGTGCAAGAAAATTTTGGATTAATGTTGAAGAAAATCCAAATATTACACTTAAAGATCACTTTATTTTTATTTGAAGGAAACATTTTTGATTAGTTAATCGCTTACGACATCTGTAAAGATACGAAAATATTATCTGCATATAAAACTCAAGTTTTTGTCTTCAGTTGGAATTATTAAATAGATTGGTCTAATTGTTATTCATAGTTAAAAAGAAAATTCTTATTCTAAAATATTTTACGTGGGCTCCTCTATGGAATAAATCAACTAAATAAGTAAACCACTTGAATCTCTTGTGAATATTCGACTTCGAAATTAAATAGAATAATCCATTCCAGGTATCCGCCGAATCGCTAAAAAACCATCGTGCTCCCGGAAATTTTAGTGTCACGACTCGCGGATTGCTGCTTCGTTCAATCAATACATTTCCTAACGTCGGTCAGAATATTGATGATAAAGTTTTATTTAAACTTGTTGGTGCTAAAAATTTAATACTAACAAACGATTCTGATCTTAATATGGAAATATCTTTTGGAAATTATATTTTTAAAGATGAGAAAGTAAATATTCGTTTTTCTAGGAAATTGTTTAATATTATTTTTATTCTTCCAGTGTCGAATGCATTCACCAAATATAATTCAACAACAAAATTGCTCCGAAGATCTTCCAATTGAAAGTAAAATGAAATTCCCCCAAAAAGCTATATGTATTTTTGATTGAATTAGATAAACATTATTCAACCTGGATATCATTTTTGGAATTATATAATGAAGATGTATTTCATCTAATTGTACAATCAAAAGATATGAAAGCACGTAAAAATCTTCATCTTATGCAAAATAATAATTCAATAACAATTAAAAATCTTATTCGAACACCAGTATTTGATCTAAAAGAAGCAGAAAATATTATTAAATTTGGTTTTGCTAATCGTTCAACATCAAAAACAAATCTTAATGATTCATCATCAAGATTTCATGCTCTACTTTGTATTACATTTATTACAATTAATGAATTTGATGAAGGACCAACTATGAGCCACATGTATATGAAAATAAAATTATTTTTTCTTAATTTTCGAATTTTATTTCTTTATTAGATATTTGTGATTTGACTGGTAATGAACCAGCGATTAGTACTCTCATATTGTGTTATATGCTAGAACAGTTTCTTTTCTAGATTTATAATTATTTGTTTATGTCTTCTTCATCCATGGAAGATTATCCATGTCTTAATAGCTTGATGAAGCTGTACAAAAATGATATTCATTGTAACAACAATCAATTCATGGTTTTATTTGGTTATTACTTGATGACTCATGGTTTTACAATTGTTTCTACACCTGAAGTAAAAATTTAAATGAATCATTTATTATTCAGCTTTTATTATAGACAGAAACATTGGATTTTACAAGATTCGATACATAAAGGATGTAGATGTGGGGTGTGGGGGTGAATATGGGTGTAGGTGTGGGGTGCGGGTATGAATGGGTGTGTTCGTGGCTGTTGGTGTCCATTAGTCATGCTCATTCACACCCACACTCACACCCTTGAAGTCAAAATAATTACTAGAAATTATTAACGCATTTTGTGCAATGTGCTCATACAAAGTATTCATTCAGAATAGTTTCAATTATTCAGTTCCATATAAACTTGAAGGTGGTTACTGTTTAGCTTTGAGCAATGTTTACCTACATGGATAAGTGTTAATCACCATTGTATCCTGTTTTGTTGTTACCAGGCTGTGTCAACTATGTATTTTTGATGACTACATCATTTAGTTTATGTTTCTATACGGTATGAGCAATAAGGAGATGGCTTCGAAATGAAGATAAAGATTGCTTTTTTCATAAATATTCGCAAACTATGAATGTATTAGAGATATTTCCTATAGTTTAAGCGAGAATATCACGATGAATCCCACTAGTTGATTCCTTTGATTATTCATGTTCCTTTTCACACCGTTAGATCTTTTGGAAAAGGTTTCTAATTTGACATGAATCAAATAAATTCATGCAGTTGAGTTTTTTCTTCAAGAAGCTAAACATTTTTTATTATTTATTTTCGAACAATTTGCCTCCACAAGTATCATTGATTTTAGTCGCATTTTCTTCAAGATAGTTTCTTTTTCATGATGCATTTTTCACGACACGACAGTAGAATACTTCTCAATTCACAGATAATAGTAGGGCATGGTCAATACATTTACGATTATGGAACATTATTACAAAATTGAAAATGACACGAACCTATAACAAACGAAACTGTCACTAAGTTATCATCGTCTGACTGATTGAGTAGGATTGATCTAAACTGTTTTAGATCACATTGCCATCCAGTCTTCTTCGAAATCCATCTCACGGGTGGAAATCATGCTCTGGAAAATATTTTTGTATTCTTGCTTTTGATGTATTTACCGTTTTAGGAAATTATTTATGCGAATTATATGAGTCTACTATGCTTCAGTTTCAGTCGTTAGTATGATGAGTTCAATGAAGAATGAAGATCTTTTTATTGTAGAATGAATTTTAAAATATATAAATGCTTAAATGTTATTATCCAATTGATTTTTAATAGTGAAAAGAACTTCATGAAAGTCTTTTTTCTTTAGTCCGTCTATTTTTCACTTTGACACAACAGTGTATTTGATATTCACGCCATAATACATCAATGTTGATGGTCCTTCAAATTTAAGAACAACTTGATAATTCGAATCCGATTTAGCCGTAATTATATTCCCGATGGGTTGAAGTTCAGTTGATCCTTGTGGAGATACTTGACAAACACGTGAGATTTGTGGCTTCATTTGTTCATTGTCCAGACGAATAGAGAAGGGTTGACGCTTTTGTGTAAATGGCGTTTCGATGGTCACTATCAATGTATTCATTGGATAATTCCAAAAGATTGTCCCTGAGTTGCAGGATGCTAGCTTGGATCCGGCTAGATTGAGCGTTGATATTGGGCATGAACGATCAGAACTGACTCCAATATAACATGTGTCCCAATCGGAAAATGTAGCTTGACATGCATCATTGCTCACCGGTGCTGCATAAGTAATTGTGCCAATAAATGCTGCGATGAAGAGAAACGTTAATGAGAGTGAAGAGAACATTGTATTGTTAGAAATACTAGTAGATCGAAGAGAATACAGAAGAGATATATGTGTCTCAGTTTGATGTTCTGTATTTATACGACTGATCGAATAAGTATAGATATCATTCTGATAGAGAACGTAGGCATTATGGGGAATGGGAAAAAGTATTCACTCCTTTCACTTACATGTATCATTTCCATAGAGAATAGAAGCATTATGATGAATGGGAAAAAAGTATTCACTCCTTTCACCTACATGAATCATTTCCATAGAGAATAGAAGCATTATAGTGAATGGGGAATAAGTATTCACTCCCTTCACCTACATATATCGTCATAGGTGAAAGCTATTCATAATTGGGCTTTTAACCAGTTACATATATGATTCATGTGAAACAACCCATCTGTTTTTCGTCACTATATCGTCATATTTTTAGTTCTTCATACAGAACGCCAGGAGGATGGTGTCACAATAACGACGGTGATCAGTTTTTGTGCATATCTATTGTTTTGCATCGGTGACCTTTTACCAAAGGTGGTTTTACTCATTGAAGAATGGTCGAATAACAACTGAAAATACTAGAAGGGATTCTATTCGAAGTGATTTTTGATTTACACCAGATAAGTTAAAGGAAATTAATGATGAAATTTGTTAGCGTTAAAAGATATCATTCATTGACGCTAAACTTATAATTATGTATTATCAGTTATTTAATTCTGTTCGATTTTTTTTATTATTCATTTTGTTATGGGTGACTTTCGTGACTCATAAATCTCAAACCTTCACGGTCTGAATCTTTTATGATTGGAATTTGTCGTTGCAGTCTTGTTATGACACGATGCCACAGTGATCATATCATTGTCCTCTGCTAGAACATCAACAGAATAGAAAATGATCTCAAGTTTGAAAGATTTTCAATAATTTCTTCATTAAAGAAAATCTTTTTTTGCGTGAAATTATATTTAGTTGTTGATGTCAAAAGTTTTGTTAAAAAAAAACAAATATGGAAGGTGCAAAACAAAGTGAAAGAAAGATAGAACCATTTCGCAGATCTTGTTGGTCTCAAACGAATGAATTCATTTTGATTTCAACACCATTCGTTCTTTATTTATTTTAAATTATCTTCTATTTTTATTTTATGAATTGATCGACGATTTTAATTTCTTCACCGTTTATAAACTAACTAGTAAGTTTATTTGTATTTCCAGAGAGAAAGAATAGGATGAAGATAAAAAAATCTAATGAAACCAACTTAAGAATTTTTTTTATATCACGTATCTTCTAATAGAAAAAATCGATGAATGAATTAACTTCTTGAGATTGAAACGTAAATTTCGGAAAAGACAAAAAGTTTGCCTTGATATTAGAAATATTTCTAAATTACTCTGTTTGTTTAACTTGTCTGGGAAACTTGTTCATTTGGAAAAACGAGTTAATCTCGTTTGAAGTCACTTTAGACTCCAAAAATGGGTCGGGATGATTATGTAGAATACACTCTAAACTTTTTAATTTAAAAAAAAAACTCAGTTCTATAAGATTAGTGAAGTCATTTGAGACCAGTTTCAGGAATATCCTTCTCTACTAACTGATCAAAATCGTGATTTCCGAGGATGTGTTTCATAACAATTTTCAAATGACGAATATATAACATAACTACTGCAATCAAAAAAAAACAAATTATAGAAATTCTGTTTTCATTGATCTAGTTTTTATATAAATTCATTCAAAGAAATTTTTCACAACCAAAAAAAAAAATATTTTAATTTTTTCTTCTTTGTTCATAGACATTGAACCAAATAACATATGTGGGACACAAATCATTATATTGTCGCTGCCAATGATACTGATATTGAAATACATACAAGAAATATACCTGAAGAAAAAGCTGGTGCAGAGATCCAAACAGGTATACAAAATTTTGTTCGTGATCCAGCTAATGGTATATTTTTCGGAGAAATTTTTAATGTATCAGATACAATTAATATCTATCGAAGAATGTGCGAAGAAGAAGTTAAAAAAGTTCTCAACAATAATGCTTTGATTAATGATTATGCACATAAACATAAATTAGTTACTGGAAGTTTAAACAAAGCTTTAGAATTTCAAAATAAAGGTGTATCAGAACCGATTCAAAAAATAGAACGAATTGTTTAAATGACTATAGATTGAAAAATTTTATACATCATTTTGGAAAGAATTGATTCCACAATTATAATCTAGTCCATATTCAAAAGGTTTTTATAATTATGAAAGTATTATACCTGGATGTATAAAATCTTTAGAAACTTATAGAAATATTTCGAATAATGTCAAGCATAATGTTGGAATACATAGAAACAATGTTAACATTGTTCATGAAAAAATAAAATTTATTGAAATTCTTGATCCAAATGATCCAATGGTTAAAAATGAATTTCTTCGATATTTGTCAAATAATAAACTGAG